TATTTCATAATCGCAAAACTAATCGTAATAAATAACAATAACAATAGTAACGCTAACAATAAGAATAGAAAGTTAATGATAAGAAATGAACTTACAGCACTCAACAATACATTCGTAGGTATGGTGATGATAGTGATGATATCGCATCATTGCTATAACGATGGTGCAAGCAGTAGTCGCAGTAGTAGTAAAAGCAGCTATAGAGATAGTAGTCATCGTAGCAGTTACTTGAAATATATCGATTAAGGGAATATAAATTACTTGCATAATTTCTGTATCGATTATAAAGTGACAGCTACAGTGACTAGAAATAATAACAATATTAATAATATCACTAAAGCTAATGAGGAAATAAAAATCTAATAAAACTGCTACCTTTAATGAAACATTTGTAGGTTTAATGATAATAGTGAAATTATGCCAGTTCCTTAACAATGCATGTGACAATCGGTACAGAAGTTATCACATACTGATATATCACTGTCATTATGCAAATCATACTCTATTAATCGCTATATTTCGTTTTAACACGAGTGTCATTGCAAGGATGACTACTATTGCTATTGCTATTTATATTGCAACAAATATTGAGATAATAAAAGAAAAATTAGCAATCAGTAGAAATAACAACAGCATAATCAACAGTGAATTGTAACAACAACAAAAAATAACAACCTATCAAAATAATAACACAAAATGGGACATCCACAATCTAATAACATTAGTAACAACACACCAATATCACTCCCGCCCCCCCCAACCAAACCCACCCCACCAGTGCCAACAACAGTAACCACCGTTAACAACAATGCCAATAACACAACGAAATAAGCCCATTACAGGCAACAAACGCCCAATGGGACCATCCAGAGTTATTCATGTTCTCTCCAGCTGACACAACAGCCCGAAGGTTTGATCCGGACCGCCAGATAAATGCGTTACTCGGATTTGTCAGTTTCCATCGGTTTTGCGTCCCGGCTGGAGGTAAACGGATTGACAAATTTCCATAGATGTGTAATCCCAAAGGGAGGGAGGGTGGAGGGAGGGAGGGAGGGGGAAAGGGGAGGGAGTAGGGGAGGGAGGGAGGGAGGGAGGGAGGGAGGGAGGGTGAAATGGGTGGTGTCCGGAATGGGGTAGGCTAGAGGAAGGGGAATGTGGTTTTCGTGCTGGAAATTTTACGTGTTTGTGATACTGATAAGCTTTTTGTGGAGTGGGTAAAAAAGTAAGATTTTGATGGTGAAATGCTAGTGAGATTTTGATGGGAAAATATTTATTTGGAAACCTAGTAAGGTTTCGATAATTATACACACACACACACACACACACACACACACACACAAACACACATACACATACACATGCACATACACAGACACAGACACATACACATACACATACACATACACATAAACATACACATACACATACACATACACATACACATACACATACACACACATACACATACACATACATACATACACATATATGACGTTGGTGATAATATAATAGTTATAATAATAATAGTGATGATAATAATAACAATAGTAGTAATAATAATAATAATGATGAATAAAATTATCAAAATAATAATTCTGAAAATAATTTGTGATAATAATGACAATACTAATGATAATAATAATAAGTAATGGTAATGATAATGATGATAATCGTAATGATAATTACTGGAAACCTAGTAAGGTTTTAATGATGCACACACACACACACACACACACACACACACACACACACACACACACATATATATATATATATATATATATATATATATATATATATATATATATATATATATATACACACACAACATATACACACACAATACATACATACATACATATATATATATATATATATATATATATATATATATATATATATATATATAT